ATATAATATATTTACATTTGTAGCTCTGAAAAGTTTTATAGAGAGCGACACTCATCTTTAGAATGAAAGAAACACAATGGGGGTGGGTAAAGGTGTTGGCTGCAAGTATATGCATAACAAAAATCAACTAATAGCCCTCAGGTTTAAAGTTGAGTTAAAGTTATTAAACAATACCATTTAGTAGTGACACTTGATATTTTGATATAATTTCCTTATGAATACTTTGTAAAAACCCGCCAAACGTGGTAAAAAACCGCCCAAATTTAAATAACCCACCCAAACCTGTTTTTTCCAGCCCAACAAGTTCAAAAAAGCTCTCCTGGGTGGAAACCAGTCCAATCTGGCAACACTGTAAGTAGCCCCATTTTCCCACTTTGATCAGATATTTGGTTTAGAAGTAAATCCTCTTTTCAAATAAAGGGTTTAAAAACAGAAACAAAACACCAATGACTCATTTAAACCCGTCCGATCCTGAGTACACCAGCAGTTCTTTATTCTCGAGTACAAATATTTATTTTTGTTGATTTAAATGAATGTATTTAGATAAATATGACGTGTTCTCACCTTGGTGTGTATATTTGCTGTTGAGGAGTTCTCTTCAAACTTGGCCAGCAGCTGGGTGGCCATGAAGCGCACCTTGTTCTCCCGTAACTCCCCGTCCTCACCAGCAGGAGGCGCACTGTGGCAGGACAGCTGACAGGACGGACGGACAGAGAGTCAGAGAGGAAATGAGGACGTTGCTTTGAGTCTGGAAACTGAACCTACCTCAGTGAGGTAGTTGCTCCCCCTCCGTCGTCTCTTATTAACAGAATCATCCTCTGGTTTCTTCTCATCCTGGGACAGAAGAGACGAGAATAATCAGCTCACAGGCGTTAATACTGATCGTCTCTATTCTTATATTAGTCTAAATGAGTAGACATGCTGTAGATTTGTTCTATCCTTTCATTAAACTGATCAAACAGAGGAAGGAGAAAAAGGTAACAGTTTTTTAAACGTACCCTGGGTATCCTCTTCCTGGGCTGCGGCAGGTTCAGCAGCTTGCAGCTGCTTTTAGATGGATATTCTTCCCCATTTTCATCTGCTTCTTTAGCCACTGGAGGACAAAACACAAAAATAAAATCAACAATAAATCAAACGTACAAAGACTGGTGCAGCTTCAGAGATTTCACTCCAGTAGTTCTCCAGATATATTCTGAAATGCAGGTATGCGCTCAACGTAAACACTGGGCTAAATCAGCTGACCGTCATTGCTGCTTTTGCATTTCTAAATGCCAGAAATCCAGTGAAAACGCTTGCTGAGGAGGTCCGCTGCACGTCGACTTTAAAGAGAAACGACGCTGATGAAGCAGCTTCTACGGAGGAAGGCCTCTGGAGTTACACGGATGTGACTGCGTAAGGTTTCACACACATAGCACACATACCAGTCCGGTCTCTGGCAGCTACTGACCCGACCGCAGTTGTGCAACAAGAAACTGCAGCTTAAAAAGAAAAACTTTTCCAGTGAACTCCAGGATCTAAAAGAGTTTCTCCTCTACAAGTACTTTAAAAGATTTGGGACAGGGATTGTGACCGAGTTCTGACCGCTGCTGTTCGGCGACGACTTCCTGAAGGCTTCGAAGAACTTGGAGAGGTAGAGGACCATCAGCAGCTTGTCCGGCTCAGTGCTGGCAGCCATCTCCTTTCCTGTGGTCACCGGCTGGATGTTGAACTCTCGCTCGGCCACATCAAACGCCAGCTGGTTGTTCCCCGCCACATCCCCTTCGTTCAGAGAGTCAAAGTCACTGAAGAGATCAGAAAACAGGACGTGAAGAGCAGCTGTGAATAATTTCATAGTTTGCCTGGAGAGACCGTTATTAAAGGTTAAGCCCCGCCCATTTTAATCTAAATTTAATTTATAAATGTCTGATGTTTCTTTGATTCCTTTCAAATCTGAGTCATTAACCTGATTAAAAATAATCCATGTAATCACAGCCTGTTGGGGTTTAGCTATTGGACTAAATGAGGGCGCTACTGCAGGGGTGAAACCATGGAAACAAACATCCAAACATGTCAACATCTCTACACAATAAAACTCAACAACTCAGCTCAAAGACAGAATCTGATGCAACAAGTCCTCAGAAATTATGTCATTTAATCATCGCAGCATTAAAATAACTCAGGTGTGTGTAAGCAGGCAGTGATCAAACAGAACCAATAGATACTAGAGAATCTGGATTTCCTGTGAAAATCCAGTGTGAATGTTTGACGCTGAAAGGTTTCTACTGAATAGTTAAAAAGCTTCAACTAGCATAAAATGTTCTTAAAAAGTCGTTGCAAATAGCAGAAATTAGAAAAAAAAAGCATGTTTGCCGAACTAAGCGTATATGATCCCAAAGAGGTGAATTTAGTTTAAAAAAAAAAGCTAAAATAAACTAAAAAGTAGCTAAAAATATAGAAAAAATCTGAAATTAGCAAAAAAAGCATGTCTGCTAAATTAAGTAATGAGCTGAAATTGTCACAAAAAGGTGAATTTAGTTGAAAAAAGCTAAAACAAGTTAAAAAGAAGCTAAAATAAAGAAAAAAGCTGAAATTAACAAAAAAATTCAGAAAACATGCTTGCTAAATTAAGTAATAAGCTGAAATTATCACAAAAAGTTGAAAATAGCTAAAATAAGCTTTAAAAAAGTAGCTAAAATATAGAAAAAAAGCTGGTATTAGCAAAAAAACAGTAAAAGCATGTTTGCTAATTTAAGTAATAAGCTGAAATTATCACAAAAAGTTGAAAATAGCTAAAATAAGCTTTAAAAAAGTAGCTAAAATATAGAAAAAAAGCTGGTATTAGCAAAAAAACAGTAAAAGCATGTTTGCTAATTTAAGTAATAAGCTGAAATTATCACAAACAGTTGAAATAAGCTAAAAAGTAGCTAGAAATATAGAAAAAAAGTGAAATTAGCATAAAAAAAGCCAAAAAAAAGCTTTAAAAAGTAGCAGAAAAATAGCAAAGGTGGTCAGAATGGTGGCTAAAAATGCAAAAAAAAAAAAAAGGTTAAAATCAGCAAAATAGAAGAGGAAGAAAGCTGAAATTAGTACAAAGTGGTTAAAAAAGCAGAACTAGAACAAAAGTTAAAAAGTATGAAAGGTTTATTAACATTTTAAAGGGTTTTACGGTGGTTGAAGACAGCTCAATTCTTTTTCAGTAAGAAAAACACGGCAGAAAAAAACAAAATATCTCAAAAAGTTTAAATTGCTGAAATACCAAAAGTCATATTTGGAATGTCCTGAAGGAGCTGAATGTTTTCTTTTATAAATAGGTGAAGGAGCACAAAAATTGCGGAACAAGATATGATAGAAGAAAGAATCTCAATAATGTAAATTATTTAAACACATTCACACAAATATGAATGAGATTTATCACAACAATCGTTTAAATAATCTGAGGCAGAGATTATCAGCAGGACTAATTTTACTTGAATTAAAGCTCAGTGTGGTTGTGTGTGTTCTTACATCAGCTCAGGCCTCTGTCCGTGGATGAGTGCACACAGGGCCAGGCCGTTCCTCCAGGAGGACGTGAGGTTGGCGACATCCACCCCCCGGTACCCCCGGGTCTGCCTCTGACACCAGGTCAGCAGGCGGCCGGGTCGGACCTCGGACTCTGCACGAGAGGAGCAGTCAGAGTTACCGCACCGCATCAAAGGAAAGAACATTTTCATGCCAGAAAGGGTTTTGTTTTCCCTCCCCGCCTACGAGGGATTTATTTCTGTCAGGGTAGGAAAATATCTGAAATGGTGTCGACGCTGTGACGCGTTGGAACTGCAGGTTCTTCTGGACTCAAGCCACTCGAGCTACAAACTGATCTACTGAGAAACTCTGCCACGCTTTGATGTGCTTCAAAACACCTAAAAGGGGTCTCCTGCCCCTCAGAGGAAAGATTAAACTCTGTTTGTACAAGCCTGAACGGAAAAACACTGAATAAACACAAGAAAATCAAGTCAATAACTCATATTGACAGTTACAGAGTTTTAATATGAAAGTAATGATCTGGTCTGCGTCAGTTTTCGCTGCAGTAGTTAATGAGTGGGAGTATTTTATTTCACATCTAAAACGGTTTCAGTGGCTGAAAATGTTCACCTTTTCTACACAGGTTGGTTGATCTTCGAGCCGGCACTCCTTTTTCAATCCAACTTGAGTTCTGCTGACCGTCGATGAACAGGTGACGCACCTGAAACAAACATAAACACACAACAAATCTCATTTCTGTCACTGTGACGTGATGTTTCAGACACATCCTGTTGGAGGCTGACCTGGTGAGGACGGACACAGCTGGAGTTCAGGTTGGGGTAACGGGTGGCGGGATCGATGGTGTACTGTTCAAAGTTTTTACTGATGTTCTCCGGTGTGGTCTGAGGCAGCAGGCGGTAAATACTCTCCCTGGGAAAAACAGAAAAGATAGAAACTAATGGTTTAAAAAGTTAGCATTCATACAAAACAATAAAAACACATATAGCAAACTCAGGCTAAGCATTCTCATCATCTGGTAAAATATGAACAATAATATACATTAAAGGGGCAATACCATATAACAATACTATAATAAAGTATCTTTGTCACCTTTAGTTGTTATTAAAATGCTGTTTTATGTTTAAATAGAAAATAAACTTGACTTCTCATCATATCTGTTTCTAAATGCCTTGAAATTTGGCCTCTGTCTCTTTAAGAGCCACCTTCTGCTTCTGTCTCGCCCATTTCGGTGCGTGGGGGGGGGGGGGGGCTGCCATGATGCAGTTTACTTGGCATCTGAAAATACATTTCCTCAAAGGTATTTTTAATCTGAAAAGAGCTTCACTGAGTGAGAACTAATGTTGAGAGCTCAGCAGACAGTTAGGTTTCACTTTCACTTTGACCCGAGAGCCTGCAGGAGTCATGGGCGGGGTGTGTGGGGAGGAGTGAGGGAGGGAGTGCGCTCTACCATGAGGAAGTTCGGCTTAAAGACACGTCCCAGGGGCGTTTCTGGTCCCAAAAGGTGTTTCTGGTCCCCACCTGTCGTTTTGCTCCTCAGCATGGCTTCATAAAAACGCTGCAGGATTTCTCAAACATGCATGAATGAATCAAAGCAAGGCTTTGGGCATGTTTTTATGAGAGTATAACATTATAACATGATATAAAACTCAAAAAAGTTTATTTTACATGATATTGCCCCTTTAACAAATTAAAATCTGAGAGAGTAATTATTTTTTTAGGTTTAGATTCAAGTCTGGGTGTAGATGAAGTAAAAAAAAATTCAGTCTAGATGAGAAAATAAAATCGTCAGCATAGATGTCAGTTTTTCCTGTTTGCTTTGAAACAGAAACCTTTACACCAGAGATTCTCAAACTGGAGTCCCAGGACCCCCAGGGGTCCGCGAGAGGTATCTTCGGGGTCCTCAAAAAATGTCATTAAATTGTTAATTTGGTTTTCATTTTTAAAAATGCACGGAGAACAATGAACTAATAAAACAAACATAATAAACTAAATAAAAATATATATATTCTCATGGCATTCAAGGGGCTGAAATGACAGTAAATTATCTTTTAAAACAGCATGGGGTTTATGAGGGGGTATAAGAAGCTGTCTCTGCAGAGGCTTTCATTTGTCTGAATAATATTAAACAAACAAACAAAAAGAAGTCCTCATCTCAAGTTACAGGAAGTAGAGCACGCTCACCTCTCTGCCAGCACCTCCAGGGAGTTCCTCCCCTGAGCCCAGCCCCGCACCATCCAAACGGTGTCGAACGCAGCCAGAAAACCCCGAGCACAACCCGTTCCCATCGGCCAGAAGGGCTGTAAGCAGAGAACATGACGATGATGCCAGTAAAAACACAAAGCAGGCCAGCCCTGACAACACACACAAACACACACACACACACAGTTTCTCAAACCTCCAGAAGGCTGTCTCCCACCAGCGCGACCAGCAGCTGGTGTCCATGTTTCTCCCTGATCAGGGCGGCGTTCTCTGAGGCGTACATGCAGGTGAAGTCGAACATGGCCACGTCCGGTTGCCCGTAGTGGTTGATGGCGTAGTCCAGCGACGGCAGCTGGTAGTTGGTGCCGAAGTCAGCGGCCTCACGGGCGTAAGAAAGCAACGCTTCCTGGTTGACGTTATCATAGGCCAGCAGTCGCTCTGTTTCTATGTAGTCCTACATGAAGGACAAAAAGGTAGGGTTTGAATTTAACATGAAAATATCTAAAACACTTTCAGCTATTTTAGTATTCTGTATTCCATTACAAGCTTTTTCATAATACTGACACTACACCTGAAACTAATAAGTTAATAGAAACAAATATTTAAAGTGCAAGTGACATCAAATTTTGTAATAAAAATAAACGCATGTTTGCAAAGATACCACTGATAAAATATCGAAAAATAAATTTCACGCCACTGAGATGAACAGTTGTTGAGATATTCACATGTGAAGTAACAGGAAGTGATGTCAAAGGGGAATATCTGCATGTAAACAGAGCGTTGCTTCAATAACTAACAACACAGACTGTAGAGAAGTATCTGATATTTCTTTACATTATTTTGAGTCTATCGGACAGATGAAGAGTCAGAGAACAAAAATTATGACTTCAATGAACTATAAAGAGTTCCCCTTTGATGTCACTTTCTGTTTCACTTTGGCTGAGCCAAGTTCAAAATAAAATATACCAGTTATGTGATAAAATGGGTAAAATCATGCCAGATTTCTTAAATACAAAGATGTTTTTTAATACTTTCTGCAATTAAAGGATATGCAGGTCATAAGCTGCGTTTCCATTGCAAATGTGCGCAAAACTTTGTCAATATTCTGTTAACATTGAAAAAACACAGCTTTGCAACTGCAGTGTTTCCATTAAGTAAGAAATGCTATTAAAGTCACGCGTGAATACGTTTGTTCTTGTGATAAGTCATTACAAACACGGCAGCAACAGATGTAAACACATTGCATCTTGCTACCACGACACTAGCGCTCATCATCATCAGAGATGTCTGCGTCTTATCGAGGCTTTCCAGAGACAAGTCCCTACTTGGGAGTGGCTACGAATGCTGTGTTTTTGGGAAATTGTAGTTGGTGAGTTCACTACTTTGTTTTACAACTTTGGCGATTTTACTACTACTTCCACTTCCTGTTGTCTTCTTCGTCGTCTTTTTTGCCAGTAAAAACCTCTGGTTGTTGATCACGTGACTCCAGTGATGCGAAAAAAAAAGTGTTTCCATTGCAGTTTTGTGAAAAACACCAATTTCGATACGGCTGAAAATACCACCTTATCCTAGCACAAAAACACTTTGTTGAAAAACTTTTTTCTAGATTGACATGTTTCCTTTAAGCAAATTTATTTTCAAGATTCTAATTTACGCATGGTCAATGAAAACGCAGCTGTAGACTCTTTAAGGTATGGGTATATTCCTTTCACTTCTGATAATATCCTCTAATTTAGACATGTCAGCAGTATGTGTGTCTCTATAAACAAACTCAGAGTTATACTGAGTGATGAGGTCGCTGCTGTTTTGGATCCATGTGTGCGGGCTGGGATCCAGCTGACGCAGACAGATATCACTCAGCAGAAAGAGCCAATGTAAGATGAGAGCGAGACCACTGAGGGAACAGGAGGACAGGGGGTGGGGGGGCTTCAACACCTGTGGTTTTAATAAACATGGTGGGGGACATAAATCTGTGCATCGAGGGGAAATGGACCATGAAACAAGTCTAATTAACAAAGCTCTGTTTATGCTGTTTAATCTCTGATGTATGTGTGTGTGTGTGGGGGGGGGGTATATTTGGAGTGTGTGAGATGTGGAATAAAGGTGAGAGGTGCAATTCTTTAATTAGAGCTCTATGTATCATCATCTCTGGAGGACCATCACTCACCAGTCTGGCGAAGACTCGAGTGTTTCGGTCTTACCCCACAGCTCATGTGTGCATCTCTGGCCTTCAAGTTTCTAATCTAGGGCTATTTTGTTTTAAATTAATCACAACAAATTTAACTAAAAACGTCTTTTAAAGAAGAGCCAGGCGTCAGTACTAACAGTAACTTACATTTATGATGACCCTTTTGTCCAGAAGGCTCTGCTTTTTCGCCGTCATCACAAAGTAGTGGGTGTTGTCCTTGTAGTAAACGATGTTTTCCAAGTCAATGCCTGTAAATTCCAGCACTCTGCATGAGATGGAGCACTCCGGCAGCGCTTATATTTGCCACAGCTTTTCCTTACCCGTCTCATCTTTGAGTTCAAGGAAGAACTTCTGGTTGAAGATGAAGGCCACGCCACTGATCTCTTCCACTTTGGCCTCTGCTGTGGTGTTCCTGTTGACGAAGTTAGCCGTGATGGCGATGGCTAGCTTCCCTCGAAACTCCTTGCGAGTGAAACCTGATGAGTGGAATGGGAATCTGGTCAGGTAACATCACATTTAAGTAATGGAACGTGAAAAGGATTCTAGAAGATAGAGGTTTCTCAAACTGGGGTCTGCGAGACGTATCTTGGGGGTCCTCAAAAAACTTTCAATAAATTGTTCGTTTGATTTTTATTTTTAAAACAAACTAAACCAAAAAAAAAGATACTATTCCCATGCCATTTAGAAGGTAAAATGGCAGTAAAATATTTCTAAAACAGTATGGGGTATATAAGGGGGTCCCTGAAACTTTTTCACCCTTGTAAGGGGTCCCCAGACACAAAACGTTTGAGAACTCGCTATAAGAAATACTGTCTGAGCATGGAAGATCATTAGTTGTTTCGTGAGGATGAATCTCACTGTGACCTGGTAGTATAAACATATTTGCAGTGTTTGTATAAAGTACCACAAAGTGATACTTGAGTAAAAGTACAAGTATCTTACCAAAAATTACTTTGGTAAAAGTTAAAGCCTCCTTAAGGAATATTACTTGAGTAAAAGTCTTAAAGTATCTGATACTTTTTGTACTTAAGTATTAAAAGTAAATGTGTTGATTTAAAATGAGCAGTTAGATTTTCTGTAAGGACATTTATTAGGAGGTGACCTCCACAAAAAATGCCTATATCGTATTAAAATAATTAATTGATGTTAAATTTAGGATGCACTAGTCCAGCTGTTTCAGTTTATATACATATATCAAGGCTGCACAAAGCTTTTCCCCAAAATGAAAATCTATCTGAGGGCTGCGGCCAAATGTAATAATATAATTCATGAAATACAAATACTTCTTAAGTACAGTCCTTTTATTTGAATGATTCTGTCCTGCTGGAGTGTGACATGATTTGTTTGTGTACAAACTAATACACTATCAGAGTTTTATATATTTATACTTCTCATTCAACCACAGTTAAATTCACTCTATCTAGGAGGCTCAGTTTATATGGATAGTTTTTATTTTTTACAACAAGCTGGAATGAAAACAAGCAAAATGAAATAAAAGTAACGACTTTCTACTTCTTGTCTTTTTTAAAAACGTAAGGCAGGGTGTCCAAACATTTTGTTACCCCTGCCTTACATTTTTTAAAAAGCCAAGAAGTAGAAAGTCGTTACTTTTATTTCATTTTGCCTGGTTATTTAAAGCCAAATAATTGGTATTGTTGCTGATATTTTTTATTATAAGATTTTACTTTATGATAAATTTGCCCTAATAATAAATAGAAAGTCTCCATCTAAATCAAACACCTGTGCCGGGGGGACAAATTTGTAAACAAATTAGTATAATTCTTGAACTGAAGTCAGGGGCCACACAAAATCAGTTTAGGGGCCACAAATGGCCCCCGGGCCACACTTAGGACATCCCTGAAAGTAGGCTGAAAAATGATTACTCAAATAAAGTACAGATACTCGAAAATTCTACTTAAGTACAATAACAAAGTATTTGTACTTCGTAACTTTACAACTCTGCATATTTGTACTTTATAAGTTAGAAAACAAAGATAAAGTAAGTCAGTATTTTTACACAGTAATCCTACAAGCTCTAATCCAGTTCATGTATCGTCAAACATCAGCCCACGTGAAACTGAGTCAACAGGAAATGCTTTAGTCACTGAAAATGTGTCTGTCATCCTTTCACTTGTGTGACCTCACGATCACTGCTCTGTGGTTGTGGGTCAACATTAATTTTCTTGTGTTTCCTTTGAACAAACCGTCAGTGTTTTTCCCCCCACAACACTCCCAGTTGTGAGTCACGTTCGTTCCTCACCATCCAGAGTGCTTTTGCGCCCGTCGGCTCCGATCACCACGTCGAACTCGAAGTCTGAAACAGGGTGGTTGGAGGGCTGGATCTCCGCTCGCCACCCCGGACCTGAGGAACACAACAAATAAAAAAACATGTTTGAGAAGAGAGGGAGGGATCTTCTCCGTTTCTTCTTTCTAACCACAAAAAATTATGTCTTTTATTTCAGCTGCTGCATAGCAGGAAAAACAACGTCCTCCTGTCTGTCAAATGTTTGGGTTATGATTCCTGGAATGTTCAAAGACTTCCCAAAGGAAATGTTTTGAAAAATCATCTCAGACTGCAGCTACAGTAAAAGTTTGCTAACAGCAGAATCTGCCTTTTTTTTAACCTTTTTTCTTAAAGTCATGATGAGTTCTCATTAAGATAATGTTTAAACATGTTTATTTTCCTTTTCAGACATTGAGGTGTTTTATTAAGATTTGAAACTTAATTCTGTTTTTTAAACGAGTTCTTTTAAAAGAAGAGTCTCAGACAGAAAGAGTAACGTCCATAAATTCTTGAGTACGAGAGCAATAACTTACTGTCATCAGTTTGCTCCTCTGGAGGCTCCACCAGTTTGAGAAATTCCACATTGACGTGGATCTCCACTCCCAGGATCAGGCTCACTTTCAGCAGCATCAGCTGCAGCTGGCGGATACCTGGAGAGGCAGCCGAGGCACATAACATGACCCACCATTTCTAAACACCAAGACTAGAACTTCCTGCACCTGCAAATTAGTAATTATGGATTTTAAATGATTATAATAACAGGAGGGACTTTTGGGGAGAAAAACTACATTTAAGCCTTTTGTTACGGCGTGGTATGAGGGCCAAAATTAAGATTATTGCATAACTATTGGTTGCTCCATCCTTGTAGCAGGAGGCTACATCTATTCCTAAAACAGCTATTGATCTGATTAATGATAGGCTGGCACCGCTAACTGAGAGGTGCTGGTAAATGAGAAGGAGACTATGGCTGTGTCCAAAACGACAGGCCGGGTCCTCCGGAGGACCCAGACTACCCTGTCGAGGTGGGCCGGGTCCTTGGTAGACCGGGAAGACCGGAAAAAAAGAGGCTGTGAATTTGGACGGTCTAGCCTCCCCTCCTTACCCCGGCGTACGTCWTGTCACCTAGCAACTGTGACGACGCTAAACAAGCAAACTTAAATCAAAACTAGAAAAATATCAATAYATTAGCATTAGTAATATCACAAAACTATAAAATTAACTTAAAAGTAACATTTCAAGAACTAATTGACCTGCTGTAGGTGCATGTTTATTTCGCGTTTTTTATGACGAAAAAATAATATTTAAAAACATGTCCATACAAAAGATAAAAGTATTAGAATTACAACCGCTAATCTTTTTTAATTTTTAAATCACCATATTTTTTATTTAAAATGTATTCTTTTCTCTCGCTTCGTCCACCATTACTAGCATAAAAAAAAATCTCCGGTCGGGCCGCAAAGCATTATGGGATATGCTGGGCCGGGAAGGATCCATCAGACCAGTCCTTCGATTCGGGCCAAAGGAAGGACGTATTTGTCGGACGCATCGGAGGAGTCTTCGGTTTTGGACGTCCTTCGTCGCGGCGCTGTGACGTATGCGGCCGACAAATTCGACCTTCGGAGGACCCGTCCTGACGTTTTGGACACAGCCTATGTATTTGTGTTAGCATCAGAGAAGCTAGCGACTAACATGGATAAGCTGGTGTTAGCATTGGAGAGGCTGGGTGGATTTAAATAAGTATGTTACAAAAAAAACTTGCCTCACATGTTACAGAGCGGAACAAAAATGTTACAACTGACAAAATAAAAGGCATCTTTTGTGAGACTAAGTTTGATTTAGAGTTTTATCTGCTCAGCAGTGATTCAACACACTCACACAAAGCACCCATTATTTTTATTTATAGCTCTGGAGAATTTGGTATGCTATCTTTTGATACAGGGAATAAACAGGGAGCAAGAAACTGTTTTTAAGTGCTAATTTGACTTTTTTTAAAATTTGTCTTATTGACAAATCTATTGCCAACATTTTTGTAAAGTTAACGTGAAGAAACTTGGGGAGATTAAAAACTAACTCAGCATTTTCCACTTTGTTCTCTCAATTTAAGACGAGTACATTAACGGCAACAATGTAAGTGCAGTTAATAAATAAACAAACAAACAAACAAACAAACAAACAAACAAACACTCACTGATGTGGTCGATGGAGCCAGCGCAGAACTTGCCGTAGAACTTCTTGGCACCGAGCGCCCTGAGGTCGTGGATGGTGTAGGGCCAGAGATGGAGCACGTTGTTTCTGGAGAAGGTGTCTCTCTTCTCGATCACCACCACTTTACAGCCCAGCAGGGCCAACTCGATGGCCGACCGCAGACCGCAGGGACCCCCGCCGATGATCAGACACTGGAAATGAGACGAAAGCAGCGATGAGGAGGAGCCTGGGGGAGTGAAATGTTCGGCTACAAAACGTGTAAACGGCTCTCTAAAGAGGAGGAAATGTTTACGAGTCCTTGTGTCACTTTATGAATGAGTTGTTTACTCGTTTAACCTGCCCTCTATGTATCTTTAAAACAAAAATTGTTACTAAATGTTAAGTTAAAAGAAGGGACGCTGCAGCTTCTGTGTGAAAGAATTAAACACAGACAAGTTCAAGGAGTTTTATAAAACAGTGTCCTAATTTGGAGCCTAAATGCTGTTTCAGAAAATAAAATAAATCAACCCAAATTTCTCCAAATAACCTTCCCCAAAAGTGGAGTAACAGCTCAGCTGTTATTTCTGGCCAGCCCTCAGCCCAACCCTTCTGTGTTAATCTCCCCTCTGCAAGTCTCTGGCTTATTTCCCCGCCTAACATCTTATCTGTTCCTTCATATTTTCCTTCCAACACAACACCAGAAGCGCTGCTTAAAACGTGTCACAAACAGAACCACAACCATTAAATGGATGTGTGAGCGTTCACACTGTTTTTAGACCTCGGTGTGAGGCTTTTAATACAATTAGAATAAAGCAGCTTAAATATTTTATTCTGTAAACAACCGTTGATCCACTAATTAACAGCATTATCCATCTGAATCCATAAATTCTGCTTAAACTTTATGATCAGAGTTAGAAATAGCTGCTGGAAACTTAACAATTAGACCAAATGTGGTGATTTGAACAATTAAACTAAAACTACAAATATATTTTCCCCCACAGTGTTAAAAATTATTTATGCCAGCTTATATACTGTATGTCCATTCTGTGAGTAACTCATTTAATCATAAAAATAAACAACTTTTCAACTGATATGTTTTTTGTTGACTTACAGAAATTGTATAAATGCACTTTTAAACACTAGGGCTGCTTATCAGGGTACAGTTCAGCCCTTTTTAATCCAAATTTTACAGAGCCAAGACCACATTCCCTCTGCTGACCTGCACTCTTACTTAAAACAAAGCTGGATCTTGTGTTTAACTCTTTATTTCCCAAGTTTAAAGTTAAAAATAATGGCATGTAGAATAAAAGGACTCCAGCTTTCTAAAGTTTGAATTAAAATATCCACAGTTTCAAGCTCAGTTTCTTTCTGGTGTTTTGGTATTTAGAACTGACGGCCTTTCCACAGACAAATAAAACAAAAGAAACAAAAATAACCTTTTTGAACAATGAAACTTATGAAATACTGTTCCAGACTTGTGGTTCTGAAACGTTTTATAAAGAGTTCCACCAGTGTTGTATAAAGTACAACGAAGTGTTACTTGAGTAAAAGTCTTAAAGTATCTGATATTTTTTGTACTTAAGTATTAAAGTAAAAGTACTGATTTAAAATGAGCAGTTAGATTTTCTGTAAGGACATTTATTAGAAGGTGACCTCCACAAAACGATGCAGAAATGACTGTTGTATTAAAATAATTCATTTATGTTAAATTTTTGATGCACTAGTCCAGCTGTTTCTGTTTGAGACAGACAGACAGACAGACAGACAGACAGACAGACAGACAGACAGACAGACAGACAGACAGACAGACAGACAGACAGACAGACAG